AATTAACTTTTTGATTGTTGTAATTAGGATATCTGTTTATATTACAAACTTTGAGGCGGTCGTATGCCAAGACTGTTCCATTTTGTAGAACTCGAGTATCCAGCCCGAGTTGCCCGATATTCGTCCCAGATTTTGTACTTTTATCCGGATAATGTAACAAATTTCGGCTATAGTGACCACGTTCGCGGGTTGGCCGGATCGAGTGGCTAAAAAGTCGGATTAAGTAGGAAATTCAGACGCAGATATCTCGTAACACGGGCTGGTTACGCGAATTCGACCAAATGAAACAGTCCTGGCATACGACCGCCCCAAAGTTTGTAATACAAACATATATACTAATCAAAGTATTCAAAACGTTAATTAACATATTTTATTTAATTAGTTTGATAATTGGGATGGTTATATGGCCGCCTAATGTCCACCGAGCCATATAAAACGCGCAGTGGAAACCGTATCATATAGAACCTTGCCCCCCTTTATTTAAAAATTTGGTGCAGTCAAAAAGCAACACCCTGTATATGGTTAAAGTGCTAGAAGGAAAGCGCGGAGAAGTGCTCTACAAACATACGGAGGTGTCAGTTCTCATGCACGAGCTCAAGCTACTATTTGCCCAATATCTCATCTGCTCCCCGGTGTGAGATATCGAATAATCTCATGAACGATACTGCTCCATATCGTCGAGTATGCAAACGCTTAACTCAAATCCAAAACGTTTTTTCGCAATACGGTTGCGTTGGAGAGCTCTGAGTATAGATAGCCGCGTAACCTTTTTTTTTTTATCAAATATTTTGTATTGCACAGTTTTTGAAGTGAGCCCACCGAACTGTCGCCTTCTCTCTCTCTCCTGCTTTTTTTTTTCTTTTTTTTTTTTACAAATAGTGTTCGAAAACTTTACTCGGAAACAAGTTTTGAAGTACTCAATTCTAAATTTTTAAGCCAATAATCACATCATTAAAAAAGAAATCCGGGAATTCCAACAACTTTTTTTTTAGGAAGAGAAAAAAAAAAAAAAAAAAAAAACTGATTCCAGTCTTTACTTTCTGCCGGGGGAAAAATAATGAAATCGACGTTAAAAGGATTTTTCTTTTAAAGTTACGTAACTCCCTTAGATTTCCCACACAGAACGCATTATAAGCCGGCGACTGATGCCTCTTTTTAACTGCCTACTATTCGTTTCCCATACGGAGTCTGCAGATAAAAGTTGTCTGCTACTTGCGCAGGGGTTGCGGTGACGTCAGAACGACGCCGACCTCTGATTGGCTTCGATTGAATTTTACTCAGCCAATAAGAGCTCGGCGTCTTGACATCACCGCAACCCCTGCGCAAGTAGCCTACGAAACTGCGCTCTGCGTTGGCTTTCGCAGTCTCCGCATCCGATCGTGTTATTTCCGCGCGCGCGTTCTCGCGTTGGGCTGACACTTTGTGACACCTTTTGACACGGCTCGAAAATCCAACTCCCGCGAAAGAAATTACGATAACGACATCAATGTCGAGGTGTACCAAGAAGCTCCTGCAACGTTGTTTTGTTTTTTTAGACTTGGGCTAGGTGGCGCAAGCTACCGCCTGTTACAAAGGGCATAGCCATTAAAGGGGCGATGCAACGATTTTTGTACTTTACGCAAATACCGCTTGGAACGGGTTCCTGACGTTAATAGGGAGTTTTCGTAGACCGCGTTGCCCCCTCCGCAAAGCCCACCGTAACGAAGAAGCCGCTACTACGCCTGCGCGCCGATGGCCTTGATTGTAGATACCCGGGTTTCATAGCGTGTTGCGGAGAGCGTTGCGGGACGGCGAAAACGATGTACGAAAATTCCCTAATGACCCGTGAAACACCCATTCTAGTGCCACTAAATAAGCAACGCTTCAGAGTAACGACACTTGGCCATATTGTGGCTTAAAATCACGGTTGCCAGTTATCTGAAGCTTTATCTGAAATCACAGGAAATGCTTTTCTGCCCTCCACAAATGTTTAAACCCTTCGCGACAGAGCAAAACAATATTACATGACCTTCCTAACACCGAATCTAATGCTGAGGAAGTCGCACTTTTGAATCATGACGATCGGCCGTTGCGTCTGTTCTGCATACGAGCCAAAATGGCGGCGCCCACAACAATGTCGGGGAACGGAGTGCCGATACTCTAAGCGCAGCTTATTTAGTGGCTCTAACCCAATTCGTTTCTCACACCACGCAATCAAAATCGCCAAAAAAGAAAAAAAAAGAAACACGAGCAGCGTTTACCCCCGCAGCTAGAACAAGCGGCCACGTTATCTGGAGCCGATTATATGCCGCCACTGCTGATCACAGCCACGCGCTGGGGTTAGCAAAGCATAGGACACGTGCTGAGTTCCAGACATTGTTATGGTTCGGCAATTGTCGTCATTGCAGCGATTGGACATGGGCCACTACCCGAATGTAGGGTGCTTTCATGTGCGCTTCGCATAGGGTGATGCCAACTGCCTGTTTCCCTTTCCCACACCCTCGTCCACCGCCATTTTGTTCCTCATTGTTTCCCCGTGCGCCGGAAAGTGGCCTTTGTGTCCATCGGTAATCCCATCCGAGGGGGAAAATGCTAATTCTCCCTCCGTGGGTTCCACAACGCTGCTCCGAACTTCTGAGATAAGGTGCTTGTTTCCGGGAGGGTTATAAGCCCCACGGATTATCGCCGACGAACAAAATGGCTGCTGGTTTGTCGGCGAGTGGTATTACAAAGGATGGCATCACCCTAGCAAAGCGCACATGAAGGCTCCCTACCCGAATGCTTCTCGAGCTATCGATTATCACGAGCCCAAATTGAGTGCCCACGCAATGCTCGGGTCCAATGTATGTGCCGCACTGAAATATCGTCACTGGTCGGTGCTGCAACCAACGTTAACTGCGACCGCCCAGTTACATCCTCAAGTTTTGCGGAGGAGAGATTGAATGCACACGATCGCTTTTGTCCCTGAAATTACACCGCAACAAAGGAGTTTCTTGGCCAGTAGCGTTGCGTGCGAGTATCCTTGAGTCCCACTAGTGCCAATAAGCTCGTGTAAAATGAAAAAAAAAAAAAAAAAAAAAATTCCAGTTGAATATTGTGGCACAGTCCCTTAAATATCCATCCATCCTTTATTACTTTATTTTATTTTTTGAGGTGGGGTGCTCGTTGTAGTTCGACGACTCCCCGAGAGTAAAGCTGGAAAGCAATGAAAGAACCCCACTCCCCTCCAAGTACTTCTTTCAATGATTTTCCCCGGTCCGCCGTACGGGCCAGTTAATCGCTAAATGGGGGTTGGCTGGCGTGGGCTGGCGGACTCCACACCGGTCACGTAGGCACTTCAAGACGTCCGGCGTCGTCTCGGGCGGTGCAGCTGAACACCTTGGCACTGGATCGAAGGAGAGGAACTTTCCACCGGGGAGCTTGAGCGAAACGCGGTAATTCCGCTACAATGCGACGCAGATGTAATCTCAAGCTTGTCCTCCATTTGGCGAGTGGTAGAGTCTTTGCAGCTCGCGTAACACACCACGCCAGTAAAAAAAAAAAAAAAAAAAAAAAAAAAAAAAAAAAAAAAAATACTGCTTTATTAGTTTTGTTTGTTTTTTTTTTTCTTTTTTTGGGGGGGGGGGGGGGGGGGGGGCAGTCCTGAAGCTTCCGAAGCTACCAACTTACTTTCTCTGATTGTGCGATAAAGAACCCGCAAAAGCAAAAAAAAAAAAAAAAAAAAGTTTCTACGAAAATTTTTTTTTCTTTATATATTAGTTCATTTCGTTACATTATCAATGCGATATTTGGCGGTTCAACGATAGCGAACATCCGGTGTGCCCAAGCCGGTCCCCTGCCGCGGAGGTGATCAAATTCCCACGTGGTACTCGAAGAGAATGCAACATTATCCCGCTCGCTTCACGAATCTGGTACGAGAAAGGTAAACAAAAAGAAAAAATCCTGACAAGAGACCTAGGACAAACAAACCCTCAGTTTATTTATTTATTTTTTTATTGGAAGTTTTGGTCGGAGCCGTGTTGGACTGTCGTAAACGTCGGCCGGCTGTGCGGTTCAAGTGAAAACCGACAAGAAAAGCTAGCCTGATAGTACTTGGCTGAGGATGAATGCGCCTATTGACTACAGTATCTCAAGAGCTAATCAGATTGAGAAGCAAAAGAGAGAAGAGACCACCGACTTGAAAAAGAAAAAGCTCCAAAGCGCTTACTTTATTCGAACAAAGACGATGGCACCACTGGAAAGAAAGAAGTATCACCAGATGAGTCCCATCAAATATCCTTGCTGCTTGTGCCAGCGCTGCACATTCTTCACGCCGGCGAGTCGCCGGCTGACGCTCCTTGAGCCATACACGAAATGCATTATTACATAACTAAGGAACACCGCACACGGCTTCAAACTCAAATACGAGCACGCTGAAGTCACCAGCCTGGCGCCGCTCCGAAGAATGGGGCGATGTTTTTCTCGACAAACTCGCCGGTAAAGGCGACTGTGGCGCCGCCGCTTCGAACGGAAATTTTCCGCTGGCCGCTGCAATGCGGGGCAATCCGTTTAAACGGAGCGGCAGTAAGACAAACAGGGGCTCAATCAACCTCTGTGCTCTGCACAGTGCTAGTGCTACATTCTAGGTTTGATTGCGTCGGACTCCTTTATGAGCTTTAAATAGTAATTTATGGGCTCACTAAATTCCTGCAACTTTGTTCCAGGAGACGTGAATCCTTGGGTGACGCTTGAAAAGCCCATATACCTTGACAAACGGGCACATGACTGAATATGGATCGAACAGACCTTTTAACAAACAGGGTGAGACGTGCAGGAGATTGTGTAATATGGGTTTTTTACTGCACTGGGCAGTGGCTAGACAAAGAGAAGCAGCCCGGCGCGCAGCGAGTTCAGCCGCTCCGTTTATGTAGTGAACAAACCGGCTCTCCAACGCGTCGCCATGGCAACGGCCGCGTGAGGGCGCTAGCTCGCTCGCGCTCCTCTTTCCCGGCGCTCGGCGATTGGTCGCTCACGGATCTCCTGATTTTCAGCTGTTTACTAGTCCAGCTGATACGGCCGCCGGCCGTTCATTATTGAGAATGGCAGCATAGGTGGTAGTTCGTATGAGTGTGTGAGTGCGTGCGGTCGTGCGTTTTTTTCGCTCCCGGGAGCTGCTACTACCCCCCTCTTCCCTTCTCGTAGGATATATCTAAAGGGACACTTCTAGGATGACGGACGTTTGCAGTGGTGATCTGGCGATCGACTGCTAGCAGTGAATGTGTTTTGCGTGCGTGTGCGTGGTGTACACAGGGTACCCGTCTTCGCTTTTCTCGGCTTGGACGGCTAGTCGTGCGGTGGCAACGGCGGCACGGGAACTTCGCCTCGAACACAAAGGCCTGTGTGGATGCCCATGATTCTGCCCTGCCGCAAGAATAGTCCGCTGCACGATACGAGTCATACCATGGGTCAAATGGGAATCAGAAACGTGAGTACCCGACGGCGTTCCTCTGTCTTTGCGAGTTTTTTAAGTCGGGTTTTGTGGCAACCCGTACTCTGCCTTTGTGAACAAAAACTGATCTCCTATTTAATTTGACGCGTGCTTTTGTTCGATTTCGTTGTTTTAGGCCAGGAGAATAACCGTATTATCGTGCATTTTTTCGTGATTCTGTTATGCAATGCAACCGCCTATTGTCTAGCTTGGCCCCTTATAGCTCCCGATTGCATTTGACCTCTCGCTCGGCCTTGTAAGCCTTCTCGCTTCCGTGTCCGCGATGCTCCACACGAGGAACCCTCCGCACATCGCTTCTCGTTACTTCGACACCGGCATATATATAAATATATATATATATATTTTTGTTTTTCGAGTCTTGGCACACTTTTAGTCGTTGGTGCATCGAAGAGAGACTCCGCCGCGCTGACGCAAATCGAGGAAAGGCAAGCGGCGGGGGGGACACCTCGCAAGCGTTTCCTCTAGAGCGAAAAAAAAAAAAATACTAAAGCGACTCCAACTGCTGATCCAATTCCTGAGTTATTCGGCGTGACGCATTTTTCCTTTTCTTGTTTTCCGTCGGCCGGCATCTTTCTCCCGTCACGTCATGTCCGGGCATGTTGCGACCGGTACGAACACGCTGCTGCTTGCCAGTGAGGCACGCCGACCGGCGGCTGACGAAACTCCCGAGGAACGTTGCGCTTCGGCATTCGGCCGATCCAGTGCTCGCGGAAGAGGTCCGCCCGACAAAAGAAAATAAGCAGGCCGGTTTGTGTCGCTCAGAAAACAAGGTCTCGCCGACTATTCGCGACCGAGTTTGTTCCTTGTTCCCCGTGTCGTTGACATCGGCTGTTCGCGTCAACGCTCGGCCGTCAACTTTTCCTCCAGCATTTTATCGCTGCCCGAATCTGTTGTCTGTTAGCGTGTTGCACTCCCCAAAGACCGCATCTCTTCTTTAATTCCCCCTCCGAAGTTGCGAACGCCTCTATTGTCCAGAGGGGGGGAAGGGGACGTGCGGGGTGCTTTCTTCTCTTTGTGGGATTCAGGTTTTCGATCGAGCTCTCGCGTACTCCAAGCCATAGCAACAGCACCGGCTCGGTGCCCATTGGTTGCGGCGACGTAGGGACTCCCAGTGTCGCCCCCAACCGGTCGGTTAGGATCGCGGCGGCTTCTTGCTAGGCCTTTTTCTGCTCGCTTTTGTCTTTTTTTGCGGCGGTCGGGCATCCCCGGCACAAAACGAATGAGAAAATAAAAGGAACGCTGAATACACTCCTTTTTCTGTTGCCTTCTCGACTGCTTCACGTTCAATATAAGTTCTTGGCGTTGTTTGAGAAACACTGAAATATGGGGCTCTTTGTGCGCCTGCAGTGGGGAAACCGGCGTCTACCTCGAGCATCTGATCGTAGCAGACGAAACTCCGACATCCGCCTGCGCTGATTTTCTTTCCGGTTCTGTCGCAGTTTCGGTATCGATTTTGATGCGCTATTTCAATTTCGAGTTCTCGGTCGCCAACGGCCGTTACGAGTTTGGCCGCTTAGACTGTTTCCCAGAGGGGATTCCGTAGTTGACAAAGCTTCGACAGACGAATCCAATTCACGCGACTCGTTAAAAAAGACCTGGGGTTCGTTTTATTTTGTGGACTGTGCGTTGTCGGAGGATTTCAGAAGTCAAGCCCATTAGGGTAATGACGCCACCCTTTGTCAAATGTTGTTTTCAGCAAGGTATCGAGCTTTTTTTTCTTTCTAGTAAAAATAGCTCGCTTCATTAAACAATAAACATTTCGATCGAAATCCTGTTTGCGCTATCTCCAGACGTTTAATTTTATTTTAGTCAGTTCGAAACCGGTGAGGGGGCATTAGACCACTTAAATACAAAGAAAAGGACGACTGGGTCTCGAAGTAAATGTTTATTTATTTGAACATCCCAGATAAGTTCAATAAAACTTGAGGAAGCAGTAGGCTCCACAGTGGGAAGTGAGCGATACGTTTAGCGCGAAAGTCAAGTCGCCTTATTCAGAGTGCGTGACTAGGAGCACCAATCTTGACAGCCCGACTCGATGTGTTGTATTGCGTACTCCAGCCAGCTGAAAGACCATTGATGGGACACAGTGGGTGTATCGCTACTGCTTGATACGCGTTGAGGACTCCAGGCTAGCAGTCATACTGCACTGGCTAAATTTCTCCTTTGGATTGGATTGGATTTGGGGCTAACCCCTTTGTATCGGGGGATCTCAGCAGCGCTGGATCTAGCCTGGCTAGTAGCTACACTTCTACAGCATAAACCAGTGTTGCCGCACCTCGAAGGCAAACCTACCTTATGCTGTATTAACATGAACGTAAATTCTGTTTGGGTCAGAGCGGGGCCGTGTTAGAAATGTACAGGTAACCAATGACCATGCACCGAAATATTTTAAAAAAAAATAATAAACCGTCGCGGCGATTATTTTTTATTTTATTGGTTACCAAACATTCTAGGTGGGAAATAAACTGATTTTATTTGAATTGGGATCACATCTGTATCTGGAACATATTTTGTTTCGCCGACAGACTCAAGTTCTGTTCATCGACGCCCTCTGCCAAAGCAGTCACCTGGATCTGCTCATGGGATACCATGCTTCGTACCAGGGTCCATTTCTCAAGACTCAGAACTTCATTCTCAAGAACGATGGACCCCTCCCTTATGACCAAAGACACTATATCGCCATTATGGTGAGCCAATGACTTTACGCATGTAAATTCTGCCCCCCCCCCTTCCCTCCCTCCCTCTCTCCCTCTGTTCGGTGAACATTGTACCTCCGAGATGGGGTGTATGGCCTATGTTCTTTACAATGCTTAGCGAATTGAGCCACATTTGAATGCGTTAACATTCTTCTCCTTAGGGGTATGCCACTTTTTTGTAGCACTCGGTACCAGCATGCAGGCACTGAAAAGATGCAAAGAAAGTCATCCTAGGACAAAGTGAAAATACTAGTAATAGCAAATATTCCACAACTAGAATTCTGAGAGCCAAGAGATTCGGTGGGCCTGTTCTGGAGAACATTGTAAAGCTGTTTGAAGGAGAGGGAGACTGTATGTAACCAGTCCAGAGAGACTCTATCCAAATGATGAGGTAATGCGTCGTCAGATTTTATAGGTTTTTAGCTGCTTCTTATTTTATTGAGCACCTTGCCCAATAAAATAATTAAATACTTCTGTTCTTAAGCAGAGTATTTGCTGAGGGAAACCATTTTGTTGAACACATTTTACAGTTTTCAACTTTCAAAAATTGAACCTGTTGGTCATTTACGGACTTTATGCTCGTTCCTTTCTCAGTACACCAGTTGTGGTGCACTTGGAGCTTCAGTGCTATTTTCGCCAAGTTTTGCTTGACACATGAAATAATTTGGAGGCCACAAGTAAGATATTGAGATTATAAATGCAAGCGAGCAATCAAGGCTCGGGGAGTTGATTAGTCCCCACAAAAACATTGGAAAGTAATGATTGCAGAAGACCTATGGCACATGCAGATGCAAAACAAAAAAAACAAAACTAAGAAAAAATTGTGATTTCAATTTCCAGGGTGATATATTAGAGGATAACAATTTTTCTTAACAATATTGTCCTATCACAACAAAATTTTATGTGCATATCCTTTAGGACATGTAGAATGCAAAGATCAATGTTTCGTTAGTGCATATTTTGTATTCATGGAAAGTTAAGGAAATTTTCGCTAATCCCTTCAAAAGTTAAGGAACTTTTCGCTAATCCCTTCAAAGTGGTATATTCGAAATCTTCAATAATTTTAAAATAAAAGAGGTCTCTCACATATCTTTGTTAATCGCACTCAGTGGTTCAAAAGGAGATAATTAGCTAATTTTGCTAGCTCTTAAGTTTGTTGCCTTGCCCCATCTGTGCAAGAACCTGGAAATTTTGCTTGAGCATTACATCCAGAACGTGAAAAAAGCTATATCAAAACCAGCACCAGATTTATTAGGAGATCACGTCATATAACGTCTAAAAACTACATTCAGTTATATGTAGTAAACAAAGAAAATGTTTCCCCTGGCACATGTTCTTTACACAGTCTCTCATGTTGCTCAAATATAACTACCGGCTAATGTGTTACAATAAATCTTTGACTTGCAATGTGCAGTCGCGAAGTGGTGAGCAGCATGCCTCTCGCCTTTCCAAATGTCAGTCTATCCACACTGTCCAGAGCCAAACCTTAACCTAACATCGGCACTACTCAGCTCCTCCACACCAGGATAGGGAAGATCTTCGACAGCATAGAGCAGAATTTCTAACAAGTCTGTCATTTCACCTTGCCTTCGATTCACCAAGTCAAGGATGCTCCATTTAAGTGAGCTTGTTCTCCGTCTCTTCTAGAGCGGCAATATTGTAGCATTTCAGACTGCCACTAAATAGCTTTGACGTTTGATAAAGGGTCTATATTAGTGCCGTCTCTCCATGCATTGTGAGTTGTCTAACCACTGGTGGTTTTCCCTCGGCCTCTCCAGGCAGCTGCGAGGCACAACTGCAGCTACCTGGTGAATAAGCAGCGTGAGGCGTTCCTCTCCCCGGACGTTGCGGGTGACAAGTCGTGGCTCCAGGGCCTGCACTGCATTCCAAAGAAGCTCAGGGACCTGGACGAGATCAACAAAATCCTCGCTCACAGGCCCTGGCTCATTTCCAAGGACCACATAGAGGTCGGTACTCTCCCCGCGAGTTGGCTCCTGCTGGGACCGACGTGCCTTCGCTGTAGCTTGGTTAGCTTTCCGACTCCGGTGATAGATTTCTGGGCTGGTTTGCTGGTCTGCAGCAGGTATCTCTCCCAGCAGTTAACAGACTTGCAACGAGGAACTTTGAGGTCACGTGACTTGCTCCTTGAGGACAAGGAGCTAAGGGCGACTAGCATTGTGGGCAAATGGCTGTCGTAAGTCCATCCTCGAGTCAGACTCTGCGCGTGGACGAAGGTTGAAGAGGCTTGAAATGTAAGCATCTTAAGCGAGACTTGCAGGAAACGATAAAAAAGCTGTACATCTGCTAGGGAATTGGCTGGAACGCTTGGTACTTTCTCTGCACAAAGCCGGTCACACGACTTCAACACCTATTTTGCAGTTGAGTTATCCCCAGGGAGAAATACCTGCACTGATTAGCGAACCGGCCCTGTGGTTCTTCGACCACCATGGAAGGTTAAGAGGGACGGGCTGTAAGCAGCTCTCGACTTCACTCGGCGCTGTAGTGGAGTTGTAAGGGCAGATTGAAATGAGACCATCCACCTTGGGTCTTCGTTATCATGAGACGCCAGGGATCCACCAGGGTTAGTGTGGGTGAGGGTAAATAATGTGCCATTTTGGGGCAAATAGTTTTATCAGTCTTTTCGTTTGCTTAAAGGAGCAACACACTGCTTTCTGCCATATTTCATTATGCCATATTACATTCATGCGTGGCAGATTTCTTTATCAAAATTGATATCAAAAGATTGGCACCAGATGTCACTATTGGACGAGGAAGGGCAGGGCCCTGCCTCATTCTGTGTGCTCATTTAAAAATTTTTTTTTTTTTCATTATTTGCACAAACGAGTATTATTGATAGCGATTTGCTAATTAACCCAAATGTACGGCGGTGAACGGTGCACAACGTGCCCGATTCCCGGGGGTGGTGGCATTTGATGTAAGAGTTACTCTAGAATGGCCGCTGGAACAGCCTCACTCCCTGCTGCTGCCTTTTGCTCTTTTTCGCACAATTCACGGTCCCACGTCGTTTGATCGGGTGTCGAGATCATGCTGGAGCAACATCTATGTTTCTCTGTATTGACACGCGTGATTCGAGCAGTTTAGGCTCTCGGCGCTCGTTTTTGGCCATTCTTCATCCAAAAGCAACAAACAACTGTGCTGCTGAATGCAGCTTCGACCCTTCGGAGTAGGTGGTGCTCCATTGACATCTGCAATGGCGTAGGAACTTAACTGCGACGGCGTAGGAACTTAATTAACTGAGACGGAAAACGAGGAGGCTTCCGCAGGCAAAAGTCTGGACATGTCTGGATGCCTACCGGAGTTATAGGTCAGGCTTGCAATTTACGTCGCAGAAGTGTGCAATCGGTCCCTGCCTGTGACATGCGACGCGATCACCCAGGAAGTGGGGAAGATGCAGTTGGTGCTGTCATTTTTGAAGTGCGAGATTTCGTTGGTCGCCGCTGACAAGCTTTTGAAAACGTAGCAGTGATCATGACGGGAAGGACGACACCAATGCGGACAAACCATAGTCTCTAATCAGGGACAGTGAGGACGGAGTAGCTTCAGTTGTCCCGCCTCCAGCATCAGCTTCCAGTTTCAATAACGCTTGGGCATCTCATGCACCTTGTGCGTGCATGCTCAGCCGAGGCACGCCAGAAGGCATCAAGCACGTGCTGGAGGCTGGGATTTCGAAAGACTCCCTGCCTTTCTCACGTGTTCTCTGTAAAACGCGCCCTTAAAGCTTCCAATTGAGTTGGTTTACACTCGTGTAAATATGGTAGTTCCGAGGTAGTCAATCTTTTGATACCGATTTTAATAGAGAAATTGTTTCTTTTTTAGGTTGTTTAGAGCCCATAAAATTGAGTTATGACCATAGCTAGACTGTCACAAGTAATTTAGTGCCCGTTTAATACCTTGCGGTACACATACACTACACTGCCTTCCGAGTAAGAGCTACCAGCAATATTTGCTCAGCTTCTCGTGATTGGGTCTGGAGACTCCTCTGCAGACTTTGGACGTCCTCATCTCATGGCTGGTCTGTTAAAACTGCTCTGCCGTGTTTTCTTTTGCAGAAGCTAACCAAAGGGAAGAACAACTGGTCCTTGTCGGAGGTGGTGCAGGCCATTGTGATCCTTGCCCACTTCCATGCACTGTCCAGCTTCGTCTTTGGCTGTGGCATCAATGCTGACATGGAGGACGACGTCGGCAGTGCAGTGTACAGTGCCAATGGAGATGGGAGCACAGTGCCAAGCCTGAAGGTACGTCGTTGACACTCTGTTGACTCTGCAATCGTGGAATGTCTATCAAGAGGTGGAAGCTGGGCATACCTGGAATGTTCCGATGACCAAAGCAGAATTAGGGGGTTGGGAGGGGACAGAGGACCTGACATATTGCGGCTGTTCACTTTATGACACGTGTCATGATATGCATGGCTGTACCACAGGGTAGTGTGATTGACATGCCTGCAACATTTTAAAGATGCAGTAGTAACCTTGCCTCTGGCGCGAGTTTTCTATCCGTGATGACACTTGGGCGTCTAGTGTGCATGGGCCGCCAACGTATGGCGAAGGGCAACTAGTCTTTGCTCTAGGTGGAGCTTCTATTGTGTTAAGCTGTCGCCAACTAGACGCATTTGCGAGTACGGCCTCTGGGGTCCGCCATCTTGCTGCAGCATGGGAAGGTCGTCTGGTCACCGAGCACTGTTGAGGTGTACGCACGGTTTCCAGAGTGGTGCCCTGACAGAGTGTTTTCCATCCACAGTGGACAGACTAGCTCTCGAAGCACGGCCTCTGCTTGCAAAAGTTTATTAAAGACCTTCACTTTTGCATTTGAGGCCAAGCTAGGCAGTCTATTGGTCGAAACTCGTATCCCTGTCGGTGGACGACCGAAGTATAAATTCCAGTTTGCACAAGCCTGGCTGGGTTTGGGCATTCTAAATGGCAGCAGGCCACTGTTCACTCTCGTTAGTTTGCAACGCAAAGCTACGGTTCAGAGTTTCTGAACTAGTCTTGCAAACATATCTGGGAGATAGAAGTTGGGAAACTGGAAACCTGAATATGCCATTAGCGCCGACGTCTTGTACGAGCCGCATACTTCAGCTGTTTATCCTGTGGTACGGTAAGCGTGTGTGTACCGAATTTCGCGCGACTTACTGAACAGTGTTTTTATGTTCCCTTCTTTTTCTCCCATTCTGCAGAACGGCCAGACAACGGTGGAGACCCTTATGCAAAAGATGAAAAGCATCTCGGAGCAGCGGTCAGATGAGCCGACGCTGGAGGAGAGGGCGCGCTGCTTCCAGACGGAGTGCAACGGGGGCGAGCTCTCGGCCGCCCGCAGGAGCGTGCCCAGGAGCGACCTTTCCCACTTTGTCACGGACGCTGAGTTCGGGTACCAGGACTTTGCAAGGCGGGAAGTGTCGGAGATCCCCACATTCAGGGTGCAGGACTACTCTTGGGAAGACCACGGCTACTCCCTGGTCAACAGGCTCTACAACGATGTGGGCGAGCTGCTCAACGAGAAGTTCAAGGTCGCCTACAACCTGACCTATTACACGTGAGTTGCCCTACCCAGAACCGGTGCACATACTGAGCTTTTGTGATAGACCCTCTGCTCTTAATGTTGCTCGGCGGTGTGTGCGTCGAACTGACTGTATGGACATTAGCATTATGATCTTGTAGCGCTCTTGGAAACGTGGCAAAAATTTACATTGTGCTCGATTTCTTTCTAACTGGAGTGAATTTAAAAGCCGGGGGACATTTAGACAAAAAGCTGAAAGCTTTCAGTCACGACGCACTTGGATTGGATCGACCAATGATAACGCTCGGGCAGAGACCAAGCGTTGCGACACCGTCGGATTAAGCCCCAATTTTTGGAGTCTGCTGCACTTGGAGCTATGACGAAACCAAGTATATAAAAGTGCAAGGTATTGACGAAGCCAGTAATGCTGATCACGAAAGCAGTGGGTTTCATGGGGTAGGGATGAGGCTTTGGAGTAAGGGAAGGTAACTAGTTTGGCTATCTTATAGAGTGGAACCTTATTGCACGAGGCTTCGGGTTTCTCGTGAAAGTTTAATTCCATGAGGTTGGGGATCGCCGTATCAAATGTTGCATAGCATTTTACATTTGACAGTGAAACTTTTAAGCTGCTTGTTCAGCATGCCTCCTTGCGTCTACCGACAAGATTGAAGTTTGGTGGTGGTATTTTTTAACGGCTACTATGTAGAGCTACAGTAGACTCGTTAATTCAACTTCCAGGACGCCACATATTTTGTTTGAATTATCAGAAATTCATCTAAAACGATGCAAGAGAAAGTTATGATGCGGCAGTTTTCGTAGCAACTTGCGCGGACACTGACGTGGACCTATGCCATACCATCATGTCACAGTGTTTGCACAAGTTGCTGTGGCAGTTTCTGCGTAATGCCCGTTTTCATAACTTGTGTGTGCCCTGCTTGAACCCCGTTGCGTGCGCTTGTCACCGAGCACCGGTTCACTGCGGAGAAGCAGCACCCACGGAAGCAAGCACCTCGGGTGTTGCCTCTTTGCAGTGTGCCAGTGCTAGGAGAGAAGTGCACTCAACGGGGTTGTGGGAACTAAATTATGAAATTCACGAAAACTCGACTTGAATTCAGCGCTTTATGAATACGTTAAGAACATAGTGGGACAACCAAAATGGTTATATTTGTTTGAATTAACCAGAAGTACAAAATATCAGTTTGAATTATCGCACGCATATTGTACCTCACTTGAAATTTACTAGTTAACCCATTAATTCTTTATTTTATTTTTGGCAGTTTTTGACCCTCAACCACTTCTCTGAAATTTGTCAGTCGCCGTTTTTAGAAAAGTACAATAAAAAAAACATGCTGCCATCTCTCGGCAGTGCCGCAAACAAAGTCCTAAATGAACCTGGGTCGTCCAAAACAGCCAAGGGGCAAGCGAGGGTGTGCGAACGAGCTACACTAGCCCTAAACGGTTTGGCGACGGCTCTGGGGATGAGCTAGGCTCTTCCAAAACAGTAAAGGTGTTAAAGTTCTTGTTACTTTTGCTCTGCAAGTGGTGTGGACCTAGCTATTGATGGCTAAATTGGCTGCCGATTTTTAGAGGACATTCTGAAATGATGACAGACTGCTTTCCCGATATTTCAAGGTGCCTCTATCTATGAGGTGTTTTGTTTTTCTTTTAACAAGTTGTTCCAAAAGACTGCACCCTGTCTAGCGACAAAATGCACTGTGCTGGACATTCAAAATTCACATTGGGTTTCTCTGCTCCCATTCCTCGCCTAATGTGTCCGCTTCGCACGAGTGTTTACGTCTGAACAATTGCTGCTGCACCTTGTTTCTCGTTCGGAGTTCACAGCAAGCCTGACGTGGGTTTTCCCGTTTTGCGTCCTTTTAGCATGGGCAGCCAGACGAACGTGGACACGTCCATGTTCCGTCGGGCTGTGTGGAACTACATCCAGTGCATCTACGGCATCAGGCACGACGACTACGACTACCGGGAGGTCAACGAGCTCCTGGACAGGGACCTCAAGGAGTACATCAAGGCCGTCTGCTGCTACCCAGACCGCATGACCAAGGAGGACTACGACAACGTCATGAGGGAGTTCAAGTACTCCGAAAAGGTGCGTGCTTCCTTTCCCCAACTCGCTGGCGTAGCGCTGACCTGGCGCTCCTTTTTCTCCTCTCGTCACCGAGCTTTCTTCCTCTCGCACATCAAAACTGCTAGAAAGCTCAATTTCACAATATCCCATGCTGGTAGTAGGATGGCACTGGAAACTCTTCAGTGAGTTTCCTTCGTCTTGTTTCGAGCTTGGGGAAGGGGGCACTCAACGATTAGGCGCCTGGGAACCAGTTGCTGCGTGTGCGAGCGGGGGACTGAACGGTTGTCGCAGTTTTCGGCGCGGTAAACTCTCGGCTGTCGTCCTGATGCCAGGTCCTTTGTTGTCTCCTTCGCAGGTGCACGTCACAATCATGATCTTGGAAGCACGGATGCAAGCGGAACTGCTCTATGCACTGCGGGCGCTGATGCGGTACATGACGTGACTCCCCGAAGACGTTGGTGTTTTCTCCGCTGGACTCTCACCTCTCTCTTGAGGAACGACACTCTTCTCTCCACGGTGGCAGGATTCCCCCGAGGGAGCAAGACGCTCGCATCTGACAGTCCGTCTTTCTTTGTCTCCTTCTCCTGCTGGCGGCCTGGCAACATTGTGTGTGTGTTTTCGCGTTTTTTTTTTTTGTTCTTTCCCAAGGACTTGCATGCACCTTCATATTTTTCCTTACTTTTTTTTTTTTTGTATCATTTTCTTCAACGACCAGCGGACGTCGTCATCTCCAGTGTCGGATGGGTCGGCCGATCGCTTGCGTGCACCATTTTCTAATTTATTAGCTTACGAGGCAATGGGGGTGGGGTGTCGGGGAAGGAGAGGGGGGGGGGGGGGAAACTGGGATTTTGTGTGGGACTACCAAGCAAAACGATGGTAAATACTCTTTCTTTTTCGTGTTTTTTTTTGTTTTGTTTTACTTGTCTGTATATTGATTACAGTGCTGTTTGCCCCATTTTATTAGGTATGTAGTGTGTTTTCATTTTTTTTCTTTTTCATTTTAGTATTTCCGTTTTCTTACTTAGAAGTTGCATATGTAAGAAATCTTTCCCAGCGTTCCAACATTTTTTTTTTTAATTCTTTGAATTTCATGGGCCGATCATTGTTTTTCTTTTTTTTGTTGCCCCCTTTTTTGTCACTTTTTAATTTTTTTCGAGTTTCGCTAATGGCATCTTAAAACATTTAAGCGTGGATCAGCCGTCCTTGTCAGAAAGGCACGAGAGCTACATATATATCTTCAAATATTTTTTAAGAAAGCACAGTGCTGTACTGTTCGTCGTTTCCGTGGAAATGGCGAATAAGCCAAATTCGCGTACCTTATTGGAAGAACGAAGATGGTGCCTCCCGATCCCCCTAACGAGAGTTTCGGTGAAGTGCACCGGTGTTAAGAACAATGGCAGCGGAATTCGGATCGAGGTGGAGTTCTGACGCAGGGTTTGTCGTTTCGAAAGCAGTCTTGCACAAAAAGTAAATTCCTCTAATTTTAGTACTAAAAGTGCCACTTGCCGGAAAGAGTGCCTCTCCCAAAGCTGCACAACAGCAAGATTGGCGCTCCAGAGACGCGCAGTGGCGACGTATGTTCGCCGATGGATTGGGGAACTGCTGGTTCTCCGTTTTTCGGTAGCTACTTCATCCTCTCGTCCCTTGTGGCAGCCTTGCTCTAGCCGAGCAAACTCACACTTTTGGCACATTTCCCTGGCAGCAGAACTCTTCCGGCCCGAACATTCCGTCATCTGTCAAGTGCTGCGTTACCTCTGTTGTGCTTGTTGTGGAAGCGCAGGAAGCACTGGTTACTTTTCAAGGTAGTTGGGAGGAAGACTCTTCACTGTCTTCTTTTTTCTTTATAGCCCCTAGCGATTGTTTGTCGAAAGTTTTGGTTGGGTAATGTTGCCGATTCCCGCACTTGTGACACTTTTCCTCTGGCAAAAAGGACATTGTTCTATGGGGCGTCTAAAGGAAAAAAACGACAGCAAACTACTTAGCAGACTTGTATTTCTCTGTGTCTTCCTGTGTAACCGATCGGTGTCTGGCTGCCTGAGCCTGCGGAAAATTCCCCCGCCGTAACCTGTATGCAATTCTTGCTGTGGAGTGAACCCAGTATCTTAGAGGCTGGCAGTGTCGGTAGAATTATCTGATGCGGTGTTCGCTGTAGTAAATCTGTTTAGAAATCACCGGGTAGGCAGCATTTCGGCCCATAACCTTACACCGCTCGTTAGAGACTGATTCGAAACAATTTGTTCATAATCCCTCCGAAAACGTTGTAGCTGAACCTTACTGTTTTTTTCTTTCTTTCGCCCATTGGCTTTTAAATTCTTTCTTTTACGGTCGCTTCTGTCGCTAGATGCTTGACTAGTGTTCACTTCTGCCCACTAATTTCCAAATTCTGAGTTTGGCTAGGAAGACCTGTATGCAACAGAAACCTTGCCAAGTGGTTGCTCCAAATGCCTTCCCACCTGGAAGTGCATAGAGATTGGTAGCATATGTATACGGACAATGGGATCGACACACAACCTTCTGCATTCCCCCTTTCTGCGTCGTTTTATAGAACTGTATGCAGGCTCAGTATTTGCAAGTGTGCTCGGTTCTTTTCCCCTTTTTTTTATGTTATTCTTGGAAACTATTGAAACTATTGTGCTGATGCTGTGATAAGATTGCAAAATACTTCCTCCCACCTCGCACGAAAGGTATATGAATGCAGATATCACTACAGTTCTTAATTTAACCAGCTTTTATTTGTCTAGTCCCGACTGTGATCTCCACTTTTTGACGACCGCTGCTGCGCGTGCGGGCTTCTTATCAAGAGGCAAAGAGCTGTCTGAAAGTTTGTATATTTTGTTAGCAATTAAATGGCCGCCCTCTGCGCCATCTCAGAGATCTGGATTCTTTTTTTTTTTTTTTTTTTTTTCTTGTGCGGATCGATGAACACGGTTTTATAGGTGACAATAAATTACGTTTACAAACCTGCCTGTGACTTCTATCGTCTGCTTTCTCGGCTAGTTCGGACTGGCGCGATGACATCTGACCATTCTGTTCGCGACGCTTTATATTTCTTCTGGAGCGCGTGAAACGGCGTCTTGCGGCACGAGTTCTTTGCGTTGCCTTCTACGGCGGCAGTTAGCCAGAAAACGTTTATTTACCATAAAAAAAGGGAAAGGGGAGGAGGGCGTCGTTGTTACTGGCTATTTGTATTTTTCTTCTGAGCGCATTTTTTATTAGCGCATCACCGTAAACAGAAAAGCACTCCAACTGTACCCACTGCCAAAGGCACACACTAGGAGGAAAATGAAGCCGCGAGCGATGTGAAGGTGAGCAGCCCTCTTGTCTTTGACGCTCCTGCAAGTTTTGGAACAAGCTCTGTTCCAGAAGAGGGCTAGAACGCAAAGTTTAGACCCCCAAGCCACGTACCATTTGAGACGTTGAGAGTTAATATAGCTTTAGGGAGCCGTAAAACAGGCAAGAAATCGGGTGAGGTGTTCCCCTTCATATTGCCGGCGGGTATACACATGAAGGCGCCCTAATTCCCACAGCTGCCACCGGATTCCTGCTAAGTTTCCATCATCAACGACTGTGACCAGATTGAGGCCATGTCCACCGCGCTGGTTATAAATTTCGGTGAAGTTAAACCTAAAGAAAGCATGAAATCGCCGCACTGGCAGCCCGAATCACTTTTCAAAAACCCCGCCAATATATCATTATCTAGCGCAATAGAGAGCCCGCGCTCGAGGTGTCGCCATCTGTCGAACAATATCGTAAACGCTACCTTTCGCGAACGTTTGCAACGCGATCGCTGCCGCTTTATTCTCGCTATTTATATATAACATTATCAGAGGTCATTTCAACAGTCACACTCATAAACCGGGTTTTCCAAAAGCTTATCAAGGAATTCAGCGAGTACCTATTGTGTTTTAGGCAGACGTGTTGTTTGTCCGGATAGGTTTAGACGGAACCAAGTGGCGGTGATATCGGTTTCGGCTCTACAGGAGTGAGGTGCGAGAAACTTGGATGCGGTTAAACTAGCGACAGTAGGGCAATACAAACGCTGGGCGAATTCTTTCTTCGAGCGATAGAAGTCAATGATCTTCGGCACCGAGCAAAAACGGAATACCAATCTAAGGTACGTAAATACTCTTCACGATACGAGTCGCATGGTCAGTTTCTAAGCCTTTTTGCTTTACGGTGCGCGTTGCTTAATATCGTGTAACTTTCGCGCTAGTTTCTCAGCGACTTGCCGCTCGTTTTACTTACAGCTCGGCGAACTGTCGTTTTGCACAACCGCGTGTACAACAAAAGATATCTGACGAAACACCTATCAACCAACCCAAACCAATGAAACTGTAGTGAACCATGCTACCATCTATCGGTGTAACGGCGAACTGCGAAGATGCCAATGTCCGCGCCAATTTCGAAGTATCCGCGTGCGTTCGTACTGCTACGGACCATGGTGCCTCGAGGGCGTCTTCGACTGCTGTGTTTAGCGTCCTATGCTGCCCATGCATCAACGTTATTAGAGAAGCACAGTTACAGAACTGCTCATAGACGCGGCTCGCCTCCCGTCGTTCGATATGGATGCATGGAATGCGCACGTTTTGAAACACGGCATCTAGATGGCGTTCCAGCACTTCTCCATCAGTGGAGCGGACAGCTATGAAACGAAAATCTGGATGGCGCTTCGAACGACGTGTGTGTGTGTGTGTGTGTGTGTGTGTGTGTGTGTGTGTGTATGTGGGGGGGGGGGGGGGGGGGGGACTGACTGATGTAATCTAATGTTGCCATACATCAGAACTTTTACATTAAACCTTCAACGTTCACTGAATGCCGAACAGGTATCCGTTTTCGTCTCAGTTTGTTCTACAAAAAAACAAAAAAAAAAAGTGAAATACTAATTTTTTCTCTAACTGACCGCAAAGCTAGTTGCGCCGTAATTTTGACGGTTGTGACGTACTCTGGCACAGGAACTGGAAGTTCTCTCGGCAGTAGGAGAATGGGAGCGTTAGTGGTGGCGGGTTGAGGGTGCGCCGGTAGGTTTTACTGCGCTGATAGCGCTGATAAGGCTGATGTCACCGACGTATTTTCTGAATCGGCGCCGCTCATTGGACACACTGCGGCTGAGCGAAATTCAATGAGATATGTTGCACTACAGCAACAGCATGGGACTAGTTTCATACGCCGGTTTGCCTGTTGGGAAGTGCGGCGAGTCTTCCGTTGAAGACTCCAGAACTCTCAACCCAACTGTCATTGTTGGTAAAAGGCGGCCCGTGTCAGTCGTTAGCAAAGCGACGTAGATGGAAACAAATTGCCGCGGCGTTTTTCGCGGCCTCGGAGATGCACGAGCGAGCTAACGTTAAAAACGATACGTTTGAACTACGACAGTGTCTGCAAGAGCCACGTAAATACCTGTTCACGCGCGTTTGATGGAAGTGCTCTATTCGCGCTGTTGGTAAGCGCTTCGCGACCGATCTTTTACGATTGCAACTGACGTGACACTCGGCAAAGGAAGGTTGGACCGGCATCGCACGTAGCTCCCACGAACTGTCATAGCTCGACAGTGACGTGTAGTCGTGTTAGAATGAAAATTGGCGTACTAATAACAAAGTGTACATGCCGTGTTACGAAGGTAATCCATACGGCGTTTATTTGAGCTATATATCACACAAAACAAGAAGATAGAATCGACGAGAATCCCTTTTCAACGACAGTGTTCGTCACCACTGCCTCTGAAAACCAGGAGATAACAAGAAGAGATTGACCTCACCTCTTAATCTAAATATGAGGTCAGCGATCAAACTATAATACGGGAAGGGTCCACAAGGGTCGCGCGGGCATACCCCATTCAGCACGCCAGCCGGTCGTGAGCAGACGGTCTTGGCCAAGTACCGTTGAAGCAACGCTGCGCCGAGTCGGAGTGCCTGCTAGGCCTATTTTTCTGCCGAGCTCGCTTGGTCGGGGTGGAGTCGTGGCCGTTGTAGCTTGTCTCGGGTGTTTGTGGATCCGGCGTTCTTGTCCGTCGTGGTCTGTTTCAAGTGATTATTACTTTTTTCTTGCTGCTTGAAGTCGGGACGCGCGAGAAGAGCACGTAGAAAAATAAGCGTTTGTTGGTCGTCGCGACGAAGTAACAGCCAACTGAGCGACACAGTAGGGTCTTTCTCTTGCTTCGTTTACCACACGATAGATGGCGCTTGGCTCTCAGCATTATCAAATTTGTCAATTTTCGTCACATCTCTAATTATGCTACAAAATGTGGATCTGAATATTAATTCACAAAACGTTTAGGAAACATTCGCTGGCTATTTATTGTTCATGATCGCGGTGCTGGTGACGTAGGCTCTTACCCAATAGGCGACGTGGATTCGGCTGATGTGCTGCGGTTCTGCGCATGCATCGCAGTGAAAAGGCGGAGAGTTTTTGAAGGAAAGAAGGCTCAAAAAAGTCCAGTTTTCTTTTGAAAGCTGATTTTTTTCTGGCTCCCTATTTTTGTGTTTTTTGTGTTTCTTTTCACACCTTTTACGACGATCGGTGAATGAAATTCGATTTCAGAATTGTTTCATGGTCCCTTTAAGAGCCTCACTATGTCATGTTGTTGCATGTCACATCCTGGCGGTTGGTCGATGCTAACGAGATCCTGCGAGTAGCACAAGCGAACGCTAGTGTCTCTGTCTTCACGGCGTCCTAACTTCCGGCTGCCGGAGCTTCCGTGGACTGCCACACTGGAGAGCAACCTGCAGCAGAACAGGCGTCTGCCACATACGTCACAGCTGTTGGGACGCCGCCAGGATCGCGATTGGCGAAAGCATGACACTTCTATGACGTTATCAAGCGGAAACCGAGGGACCCGTTTTTTGGACGTGGTAAACACACCAGTGCCCGTTAAAAATTCAGGCTATACTTCGTTTCAGCTCATAGAGTTATTATAATGTACGTTAGAGGTTCAACTGACGCTAGTGTGCTGCAGCAAATGGAAGCAGACAGCAACCAGTCGAAAACTGACTTCCGGTAATGCATTTCTATGGGACAAAGTGAGTGCATTTTCTCCCTGCGCTCGATGATAAAAGCAAATATCCCGAATAATTTGTACGTACTAGGTAGCTTGGGACATTTCTCAGTCAAGCAGACGAAATAATTGGTCAGTGACGACGTTTTCTTTCAAATTAATTGCATTAAAAACGAGGCTGAAACGGCTCCGTAAATGTATTTATGTGCACCGTCGGACACTGTTAGCGCGAACACGACGTCGGTGCTTTTCAACATGGAAATATACGTCCCAAACGAACGAAGGACCTCTGGAAAACTACGAAGGACGGCAAGAACTACGCAGTAACACTGGATCAATAACCCCCTGTGCATGTACGATCAAAATAAATAGAATGCCAAATAATATAGTTCGATTTTCAATAAGTACTGCTTTAATCTTTCTGCTCTTTGGGAATATGCTTGTTCGACGTTTAAAACGTCCCCCGCACGCTTGAAACCTAAGAAATATATATATATATATATATATATATATATATATATATATATATATATAAACTTTCATAGCCCACATACTTTATTCTTTACGTTTTGAATGTATTTAACCGCCCGTAAAGATCCAAAACGGGGTCGTTTTCATATAGTGACATGACTGGCATATAGCAATATATAAGCGTCACCGGAACGCTGGCGAGCCTTGAACACACTCTATATTCCCTTCGATTGTTATTTTGCTCAGAATCGCCGCTCGTTTTTACACACCTGTTGTGGAACAGAGGCTTGGGCCTGAAATATAGCGAAGTAAACGTCGTTCACTGATGAAGAAAAATGCGCTAACTAAAGCAATTGCACTTTTACAATGTGAATAAAACCCAAATAACAAAAGTGTTCCATGTTATTTTCCGTCGAAGAGACAAAATGCACGAGCGTTTTCCCATAAGAATGCACAGCAGCACAACAAAAATAGACTGGTTGCTGTCTGCTTCAATTTGCCATTCGGAAGTCGGATGGACACTAGCGCCAAATGAACCTCTAGCGTCAAAAGCGTAAGTCACCAAGTCTTCTCCGTTTATAGTTGGTTTATCGATGATAGAACACGCACAAAAAATGACGCACACTATGATGGTGCCTTTTTGACTGGTCCATCAGCTCGTACTGTCGGCTGCGTCTGGACTTAAAGTGAAACGAAGTTTAGACCAACTCATCTCACTGACGTCACGCTACTGCGGTGGCGCTGCTGTCGGTACTGCGCATGCGCAAACGCCTGCGCTTCTGCCGAATTCGGTTTCTGCGCAAGCGCAGTGCCTGGTGTGGGCAAAGCGGAATTGTCTGTAAACACCGTGTTGGTGTGTAGCCGTCGCATTCCACTGGCTAGATTGCTCATCTGCAGCGTGAACTAGTGTACTCGAAAATGCACCGCGCCAAGCGTTTATCGGTAATAAAACTGCATCTCCAAATTAATCAGTCGCGCTAGTTAGAAAGGTTATTGACACCTGCAGATTCGTCTTCGTTTCGGCTTCTCCGTCGCCATAACCGTGCCTTTGTGATTTTTTTAAATTTATTTGGTTTATTGCTGTTTATTTTCAACGTGATTTTGCGTGCTTTCTTACATTGCGTTCTTTTGGGCATGTGTTATATTTTGTATTTAAGTAATACTGATTTTATTAACTGCATCTACGGAGATCTGAAATGAATATTTACGTTGTATCCAAAAATACGAAAATACGTATTGGATAAAATACATTTACCTGAAAATTTACCGTAGCAAGGTCGAGAAACCCGAGCTCATAGCCTTTGGCAGGCGTCCCTGCTGCGCGGGAGTTTGTGAAGTCGAGGCGCGTCCTTGAGGAAAGCAATGGCTCTTGAAGCCTTCGCTATGCTAAAACTTGCCAGTGGAACGACAGCCTTAACAGTTACAGAAGTGAAAGGGAAGGAAGTTCGCGCAGACAATTGTTTCTCCCACGGAAATTAAAGTGTATTTGTCTATCGCCTGGTCACGGGATCGTCCGAACTTTCAAAACAGTAAAGCATGCGCTTCCAGGCTGTCGCGAGGGCAGTGCAGGCTAACGGGACCATCAAGAGACTGAGCCCTACGAACGGAGTTGAAGTCACGAATGTGAATAGGTAGCTATACCAGGAGAGTTCGAT